ATAGATTATTGAGGAGTTTTTCTTCAATTCTGATGCCACTGTGTAGATCATATGATCAACTGTGTGTATTATAACTAAACACAGATCAAATTGTAAAAGATAGTAATTCCAGAATGGTGCTCTTGTACCATTTACACAGATAAAGAGGCAGTCAGTAAATTTTTTTTCTAAAAGAGGCTATTTCATGCTTTAAAATAAGAAAAAGGAAGTGTGTGTTAGAGTTGTATCTTTTTTTTTTAGAGTTGTATCTTTTTATCATACTGTCTGAGCAAATAATTCAAGAAGCTGATGCTGTGAAGAAGAACATGACATCAGAACTGGAGGAAGATTAATGGTCATTGATATAAAGATGAAGCAGTCTTTACTTACTGCAAGTGAAAAGGGGACGCAGACCCTGCTGATGAATATCAGATAGTGCAGCTCGCAGATTTAACCAGGACGGTTCCTAACTGGACCACTAAGCAAATATCATGACAAATGCAGAGAAGACTGACATTGTCAAGGGTCGTATTTTGTTGAGATAAACCATCAACATGCAGTCAAGAAATCAACCTATTACACCAGGCAAACTGACTGTAGAAGACGTCCCTAGATTTTTAAAAGGCAAAGGTACCACTTTGATGACCCAGGTGCTACTGATGGAGGCGATGATCTTTTCAAGCGATTCATATGCATGCAAATGTTCAACGATGTCCAAGGAAGATCTAAGAGGGAGCGACCCCCCTGAATCGTGATGTCGGCACAGGTTGGATAGCTTGTACCACCTATTTTTCTTTTTTTTTGTACGGCTTACAATGTAGCACATAATTTGATGTGACCACTAGTGGAGGTCCAATGCTGTGATTTAATGTTAAGATCACTCTCCAGTAGCCGGCTACAAGCAGGTCTACACGGAAGTTGACGTCAGTGTTGGGAGTTGTAACAGAAAGTTGGGTGATGCCCCATCCTATTTCCAGAGGACACCTGAACTGTGAACACACGACACAGCAGGCTTTAGGGTTACAACACTGTCATGAGCTGGGGTCCCCCAAGCCCCTGCAGTCATGATGTGATACGCTATGATACAGTCTATCATATCGCATCTCATGTCGTGAGGAGTTGTGCTGTGACATGAATGTATTCAGTTCAAATCCACCGACCGCTCCACAGCAGAAAGATGGACAGTCTCCTCCTGTAAGATTCCTGCCTCTGAGAACTTGCTGGAGGGCGCAGAACACCGCAGCATGATGTCACGCAATACCAGGGAATACGGAGCTGTGGAGGCTCAGAAGGAGCTGTGCTGTCAATCCAAAGCCACGAGGCTCAGATCCACCGGCCACTCAGTGGAGGGCTCATGGGAAAAATCTCCTCCCATGCAAATCCCTGCCTCTGAGAACCTGCTAGAGCTCAGCTGAGTCGGTTCTGACTTGATGGTACATAACAATGATGCAAGTCGGAAGCTATGCAATGCAATGATTCCTCATAAACTGATAAACCAAATAGTTGTGAAAGGATTATTAAGGTTGAACCCCACCGCAGGCCTGCTCTGGTGGAGGGTGTAATATCTTAATCTCACTACAGGTGGAAAGGGCCTCAGTACCACCAAGGAACAGCTGCTGGTAGTGGACTGTGTCCTCTCGCACTTGGGTCTCTGTGTGAGGAAGCCCATGACACTGGGAAAGGCCAGTACACACAGGGGTCTCCACAGTACGCTTGACCCAAAGATGCTGAAACAAGGTTTTAGCTCCACCAGTGACACAGAGAATGCACTTTCCCTGAGAGCTGACACCCTGACTCTGGACTTATAGTCTTGTAAACAATAGAAGACGTTTCTGTTTGTTAAAGCCACACTTGTGTAGTCTTGGTGTAGCAACGCTAGACAGCCAAGATTGGTGTCCACCTCCTAGTGGGCCAGGACCATTGGACGATCTCATCCAGAGCTGGGTCATGTTTAAGAAGTGTCAGTTAATTAGAAGCAAAGTTGCTCATGTTCTGCTAACCCTAACACCCATGTCCAGCAGAGGAAGTCCCATCAGTGAAAGTTCTAATAACAAAAAGAAGCCAAGCAAGCCAGGCACAGAACGAAGACGAGGCTATTAAAGCCTGTAGATATCGGAAAAGAAATTGTCAAAATGGGTCTAAGAAGTGATTGTCTTATTGGACCTTTTCAATAGTTTTAAGGCTTAAATCAAGATTTTTAAATGCAGTTTAAAAGGCAATTATAACTGAGCAAGACATGTAAAAATTTCAGAAGGAAAAAGAATGCCGAGGACAGCAGGGTGTGGATGAGGTGTGAAGGAGTATCCAAGGAGAGATCCAGCGGGAACTGGAGAGATGTGATAACAGGCACAGATCAACAGGGAAAAAGTACATACAAAGGTGTGAATGATTGTATACACCGTGATATACATAAAGGAAGCACAATGTATACAAATGTGTGTATGCAAATTCCTTGCTCCCTAGATTTCGGAGGAGGAGGGGAGAAGGGATTCAATTAGCATACAATGGATGATTTTAACAAAGGCCAGGCAAAGGTCAGTACATGAGACAGAGAAACTATTGATTTGTTTGGAAGACCAAATCCGGAAAAGGATTGCTGTGAGTTTCCTGGCAGTTTAACAGAAGCACACTGCAGTCTTTTAGAAAACCAAGAAGAACACAGGCTGGCTTGATAGCTTCCGTTGTAGATTGGGTTTCCAGGAGACACACAGAGGTAGAGAAGCAGGGCGTGCCAGGGTTAATGTCAACAAAAATATCAAGGGTGAGGCAGACAAGATGGTTGGAAGGAAAGCTGTCATATCTTCCCTCCCACGAAAGGATTAGCTGGGATTGTTTGCATTACTAAAGTTGACGTGCAGATTCAGGAAGTCAGATGAAGAGAAAACAAAACCGCCATAAAGCTAACTCTTACTAATTCTCTACAAATTCTCAGGGAAAATCTAGACGATTCACAACTTCTACGAGTGGACTTATTAGCACTAATAACAAGATTTCAGTGTTAGGTTTTTATATCTCATACTATAGAAATTGAAGTTATTTTAAGCGTTATTAAGAATTATCAGGCCCACATTCACTGACTACGTCCAAAGGATGAGAGCAGCCCTGGATTCCATACAGCAAAACTCATGAAGAAAGGTGTCTGTGGGAGACACACAGACTCAAGGAGCTAGTGCGACCTCTGAATCATCACTGTGATTTCTGACAATTTGTAATTTTCCACCTGGTAAGAGGTGGGCATACACACACACCCCCGCCCTCCCCGCCCCCAGACCTAAGCAGAGGGAGGCATCTAAGAGCTAAGGTCAAGCTAAAGTCACCTGGCTCCTTGATTCCCTGAATGGCCAGCACCTGCACTGGTTGCCGCTGGGCTCCACCTCCATGGCAGCTCACCTGGGTGAAGTTCACCTCCACCTGCCTGCTCCCAGCACGGTGCATCACCAGGCCCTCTGACCAGCGTAGATGCTCTGCTCCGGGGCCAGGTGCAGCTTCTCCCTCTCCGCAGCCTCGGAACCCTAGTGAAGCTGCATCGCCCCCGTCGCTTCGGTTATTATTAACTGTGAGTCGTTACCAAGGCTCTGCTAGCCTGGTAAGACGGCACGGAGCGTGCCAGAGTCCTCGTCAGCCAAGTTCACACGAGGGGACTCAAAACTCAAATGACGCTGTGGTCGAGTGTCACTCTGAGGGTCTTATTTAAAAGAACAGTTCCTAAACTCCTACCCCTCCTTGCTAAAACTCCTCCAAAATGAAAAACAACAACATTAAAAAAACCAACAAAGGGGAGCTCTGGTGGCCTAGTGGCCAGAAGCTGCACTGCAATCCCAGAGGCGCACAGTTCAAATCCACCAGATGCCCTGCCGAGGAAGGAGGGACAATCTCCTCCTGTACCAGTCAGATCTGATTTGACGGTACACTCACACACAAATAATAATAAAAAAACCCAAAAAACCAACAAAACAACAAACCCAAACACCAAACCAACAAAACCCCAAACCCGCCACCTGGAAACACCAACAATCCCACAAAGCCCCTTTGCTGTAGGGTGCCTTCTGTCTCAGCAGGATCCCATGTACCCCGAAGGGTAGAACTTCCACTAGGGCTGTCGTCTTACCGAGGGGAGCCCCGATGGGGCAGAGGTCAAGGGCTCAACTCTGGGTTTGAAACAGCTGTTCCTCTGAAGGAAAAAACCCCAACAAATGAACCAACGCTCTTAATCTGCCTCTGCACCTGATGCTGCTGAACCGAATTCCAGGGCAGAGCAACCAGCAGACAGCCGGTCTATAGACCTGACGGCCTCCTCTGTCGCCCACAGAAAGTCTGACGGGTTCCGAACACGAACGGTTCTGTTCACATATGACTGACTTGGCCAGTGTGCCACTGAGCCTTCTCCTCCGTCACGCGGGGTGCCAATGAGTCAGAACGAGCTGGACAGCATAGACTAATGGTAAAGCTGAGCTCCCGAGGCCTTTGTGTGGAGACCCCAAAGGCGGATTGGAAATACCAACCTTTGGTCAGTTGTTACGTGTCGTCCAGCCGGAACCAGCTCCCAGCTGGGCCTCCAGCATGTTTTCAGTGACTGTGAATCTCACGGGAGAATGCCCATCTTTCTCACACGACACAGCTGGTGGATTCAAACTGCTCACCTTTGAGTTAGCAGCAAAACTCCTTATCCGCTAGTCCACCAGAGCACCTTCCTAGGTTAGCAGTTATTGCCCCTCCTTCTCCAGCGAGCATCCAGTGGATTCGAACCTCACACCTTTGGGATTGCAGTGCAGCTTCTTGCCATTAGGCCACCTGAGCTCCCTCAGAGCAGTTCTTTTTAATAAGAACGAAGTGCTGGGAGTCAGATTAGGCTTTATTTTCATGTGTATTTTATTTCATGGCTTGTCCAGGCACTGATTATGGCAGTGAGGGGGGCAGAGGCCAGCAGACGGCTCCAGCCAAGCCAGGCAGCTCGCTGTTCCCTGGAGCACAGACCCCGGCTCCCAGAGCGAGGAGGATGAAGGTGCCCTGCTCCGCGCTCCTCAGGCGCAGCGTCTCCTGGGGGTCAGCTTCAGCAGGATGCGTTTTTTGGGCTGCATCAGGAGGTTGGTGCTCAGTTCCAGGGGGATCTGTGGAGGAAGCAGACAGAACCTGGAGGAGGACGGGACAGAGCCTCTGCTGCAAAGCGGCTAAGTGTCAGGCCCCAAGGACCCAAGCTGGGGGTCTTCCAGTTGGCAAGTCTCACGGCGACCCTACTGTTTCAGACAGAGAAACTCCACCGTGTTCCCCACGGCCGTGTGCTTCAGAGATAGAGCACCAGGACCCGGGTGCCCGGGCAGAATCCAGCCTCCGACCTTTCATTTCCCAGTGGCACGTGTCAGCCCTTCCCGCGGCCCAGGAGTCAGGACCAAGGACCCAGACCAGAACCCGACACGCTGCTGTGGGGGTGGCGTAGAGGGACCCTCCAGGACAGGGTGGGAAGGCTCCCCGGGACTGAAGGCTGAGGGGGAGGATGACCCGTGTCCTCCCCTGATGGTCAGCGCCCTGGGAACTTGGTGGCGTGTCGCTGAGTCAGAATCGCCTCCCAGGCGTGGGATGAGCCTTTCTAGGTGTACAGAGCCGCTCTCCCTCCCAAAGGTCAGACGGTGAATCTGTGTCACCACCCATTCGGTGAGCAGCCCAAAGCTTACCCACCGCCGAGGACCCAGCTGTCAGCCCCTCCCACGCAGAGAGCACTTGATGGGTGCTCACAACGAGCCTCCCCCTTCACAATGGTGTCCAAGGTCCTTCACCTCTGCACTGACAGGAAGGACCTGAGTAAAAAGATGAGAACCCACGTAACCAAACCTCACGAGGAAGGAACCAATAAGCTACAAGTAGAATTGGAGAGAAGACCATGCTGAAAGGCACCGTGCATCTGGGGTCCAAACCTTAGAGGGGGGAGTCTGAGCCCCCAAGTTAATGGCTGGGGAATTCTCAGGTTTTCCAGGCTCCCTACAGAACTCACTTGGCTTCCTGGCTTCCGGCAGACCCACCCAAAGACCAAGAACTTTCCAGCGAAACACATGAAAAGGAGAGAGGGCCGACTCACTGTAGTCTCCGTGCAGGTCTCCAAGGAGAAGTTCTGCAGGAGCGAGACGAGGGCGGCCTTCATGGAGAGGACAACAAACCTCATGCCCACGCAGTTCCGGGGCCCGGCCCCGAAGGGGAGGAACACGTAGGGGTCCCTCGCCCGCTCGTTCTCCTTGCTGAACCTGGTCCAGACAGAGCGTTCTCAGGTCAGAGAGAAGCAGCCCCTTTGCCATCCTTTACCTTCCCATAGATCCCCACGAATGAAGGGAATGACTAGGTGCATAGTTCATGCCTTCACTCCCAGCACCCGGTGCTTACGACCACTGCCTTTGTGTCTTGTCGGGTTGATTCCAACTCCTAGTGACCCTGTCTGTCTTGGTGGATGGGTGAACGAAGTGCATGAAGGAATTCAACAAAAACTCGTGTTTTCTTTATGTTAAGGTATAATCCACACCAAAGCGAACAGTCTTTGAGCTTCCCTTCACTTTCAGCAGTCACAGTGGTTCTATAGTGCACGTGGAGCTTCTGTGGTGCACATGGAGCTTCTGTGGCACGCATGCACCCTCTGTGGCACACGTGAACCCTCTGTGACATGCATGTACCCTCTGGCACGCATGTCCCTCTGTGGCATGCATGAACCCTCTGTGGCATGCATGAACCCTCTGTGGCATGCATGAAGCTTCTGTGGCACACATAGAGCTTCTGTGGCACGAGTGAGCTCTCTGTGGCATGCATGCATAGACCCTCTGTGGCACGCATGCACCCTCTGTGGCACGCATGCACCCTCTGTGGCATGCACGCACCCTCTGTGACACGCATGAACCCTCTGTGACACGCATGAACCCTCTGTGGCACGCATGAACCCTCTGTGGCATGCATGAACCTGGATCTTCCGCAGTGGACATGGAGCTTGCCTCCATCTCTCTCATTGTCGAGTCATGACCGACTCACAGCTGACCCTCTGTGCGGTTTCCAAGCCTATTAACAGCATGAAACAGAGAATGCACATCTTCTCTCCAATGGGTATTGACTGTTGTTGTTATGTGCGGTTGAGTTGCTTGAGGCTCATAGCAACCCTATGTACAACAGCCCTAAACTCTGCTCTGTCCTGTGTCAATCGCACTGCCTCTGACACTCCCAACCCGATTACCCCAAGGGGCCAAAAGAGACTTTGTAGGATAATGAAAACATTCTACTTTTATTGCAATGGTGGTTACGTGCATATATGAACTCTGGGAGGTGTGCACTTTGCACCTGTGTGTTTAACTGCAGGCAAACGTGTTTTCATTATAATCAGTTGCCAGTCAGGGAAGGTCCGACTCATGCAAGCTTGTAGCAGAGCAGACTACTCCGTGCAGGATTCTTGGAGGTATTCTCTAGGGGTGCAGGACACTAGGTGAGACAAACCATCACCCTGTAGGCTAACAGCTGAGTACTTCATTATTATGTCAAAACGTCAAATCATCACTGAATTCAGACTACTGAAGTCACTCAGACTAGATGAGTCTCCAAGATAATTGTCCTAAGATAATGGTCAAACCTGAAGTAAACAATATCCCCTAAGTTCTTCTTTAAGCCAGGCAACACCTCCACTTAACTGGTGAAGACTATCTGCCTTGAGCATTGTGTCCGTTAAGAACTATCTCTGTGGCCTCAAACCGACAGCAGCCACAAAGGGTAAGTAGGAGTCTTAGAGTTCATGTTCAGGAAGGAGGGACAAGGCAGAAAACGTGGAGGAGAGTGGGTGCCGTCAAAGACTACTCTCCAATTTCCAGAACGAATCATCCACGTGGACATTGTTGAGTTAGATTCATGCTCTACTGTGTAAATGTTCAACAACAGAAGGCAGACACATTATTACTTTAGTGCATACAGAACTTACAGTGTATATAGAACTCGAGTTCTATACTGACACAACCCTGAAAGTTCTCCAAAGTTGAAACTCAGAACCCCCTTACCTCTCGGGCCGGAACTCCTCCGGCTCGGGCCAGTACTCAGGGTCTCGGTGCAGCACGTAGGTGGGGACTATCACCACTGTTCCCTTGGGGATGGTCACTCCGTGGATCTCAATGGTCTTCTTGCACATTCTCTCCAGACGCCCTCCCACAGGGAAGAGCCGGAGGGTCTCGTTTATCACCATGTCCAGATACTCCATCTTGAGGAGAACCTCATAGGTGGGGTTTGCCTGCAGCAGAAAAGAATTTAGTTAGCTTTCTCCAGTCATTTAACAAAATCTGGCGATAATATACAGCCCCACCATTTGAACAACTCTTACTCTGATAACTCGGTGACAATGTTTGAGTTCTTCAAGCTGTGCAAACCTTCTTGCTGGTTTTCTGTAGATTGTTCGACCTACTTTGACTCACACCCATGACCCCCTAAGCTTTTCATTGAACCTTTCTGGTCCTGTTTTCCATGGCTCACACACAGATAAGTCTGAAATTCTGCATTGCTCAAGGGAGAGATATTTTACTTGGTTGTTACTATGTTTTGGAGGAACATTCTTCTAAGCGGTACAGCACTCTTCTGTCAATATGCTGTACTGAGGTAACCTCAGGTTGTGTCATATTCTGGGGTGTCAAATGCAATAACAGTTACCCCTGGTGGACAGTGTTTGGTGGAGTTTCCAGTTTAAGACATGTTTGGAAGCAGGAGTGGCATCCACTTCCTATACCACATGCCTCTGCAAACTCTATGAACTTGGTAGGTATCATTTGACAGGTATAGGACGGCTTCAGGCCTTCTGTTCATAGAGTTGCTATGAGTCATGTTTGACTTGACAGCAGTTAACAACAGGCAAACTAGTTTTTTATTCAAAGAAACCTTCAGAGAACAGGGTTTTAAAATAGTTCATGCTTAAAGATTAGCTCAAAGCAATAGTTTCAATGGATTAACAAGCCTCAATGGCTACAGAAATTCTGCCTTCCATTAAGAATTTGAAATTCTGTTCTCTAATTTTCTCCCTTCTGTTATAGGATCATTGACCAAAACAATTAGCAATGGTCAACTAGTATCATCGGTTTTCCTGTCATACAACAAAGGCAGAAGTTGTTTATGGAGATAAACATAACTCGTTCCCTTTCCTATTCCTGATTATCAGAAGGGTGTGTGTTAAGTGTTGGGTATGAAGGAAAAGAAGGGCTTTTCCTTGCCTGGGTCATCTAGAGTAGATTCGGTGACCCTCAGTCGTGGTGTGATTGAAGGGTCTGTAGTTCATCGAAGATCACCAAGTGCGTGCACAGGAGCAGTTCCTTCATTGAGTGAAGACGGGTCAGGTGTGAGAGGGTAGCCGGCTCGACAGCGTACTTGTAGACCTGACTCACCTTTCCTTTGTCAGGGCTCGAGTACTGACAGTCTGCGCCAGTGTGTGTTGGCCACCCTGGGGTGACCGACTCTGTCCCCCAGTGCGTCTCTCGTTTTGGGTGATGCTTCTCCAGCCCACCCCAATTCTCGAGCCCACACCTAGTTGGCCTTGGTTTTGGCCTTGCCTTTTTGCTCTCCACCTCTCCTCCCTCCTCCCCTTTCTTTTTAAACACATCCTGTCTGACACATCAACAAGACCCACTGGAACGTCTGCCCAAATTTCTCTGATTCTGGTGACTTTTAAAAATCCCTCTTGCTATTCTCTTTTCTTTATGGCTCTCACACAACTCTGCCCTTTATACACATCCCAGTGTAGTACCCCCTGTTTAGAAGACCTCTGTGATTTCTCCATTCCATGTTACACTACAGCTCGTCTGATCTGGTCCCTGCAGCCTGGCCACCTTTCTCTCTCCATTCATCAAAGTCTAGCTACTACTCTGGGGTCTCCTAGTCCCGGATTTACTAAACTCATCCTTGCCTTGGGATCTTGGCTCTTCTGTTCCTCGTGCCTGTAACACGCACTCTGTTGTAAGTCGACTTCTTCAGATCTTCATTCAAACATCATCTTAGGAGAGGTGCCTTCCAGGAACAGTGGCTCTCAGCCCAGCCACGTTTCCATTCCCTGATCTCTGAACTATTGTCCTCTTGTATATTCTCTGCTGAATTTGTCATCATCTTGCTCACATGTTACTTGCTTGTTCATTGTTTGTCTGCCTCCTTTAACTCCGGAACGGTTACATACCAAGCAGAGGCAGCAAACCCACAAGCATTTGTTTGTCATCACCCACTGTAACAGTAATGACACCTCCTAGCGGTCAGAGTCCTAGTCCAGCAGCTCATGCCATATCCCTGACTTTTAGCTTGCCTATAGTCTGGTCTGCTCTGTTGTTGTTGTTACGTGCCATCAAGTCGCTTGCGACTCATAGTGACCCTACATCCAATAGCCCTGAACTCTGCTCTATCCTGTGCCGACCTTATTGTCTCTGACACACCCACCCCCATGACCCCAGTCACTCCAGGTGGCCGATAGTTGCTGAACACACGATTTCAGGACACTTTTCATTTAGGATATAATTCCAAGACATCTCTACTGGTTTCATATTTTCATTCTCCCTTTTTTAAACGTGTACCATCAAGATCCAACTGGCCCAAAAGGAGATTGCCCCTCCTTCTCCAGCAGATCATTTGGTGGATTCAAACCCTGTACTTTCAGGATTGTAGCACAGCATGTTGCCAGTAGGCCACCAGAGCTCCACCAGAGTATTGAATGTACCCTGGACTGTCAAGAAAACAAGCAGGTTCGTCCTGGAGAGGGTTAAACCAGGCTGCTCCTTGGAGGCAAGGATTCTGGGGCTTCGTCTGACACATTTTGGGCATGTTGTAAGGAGGGACAGGTCCTTGGAGAGGGACATCATACTTGGAAGGGTGGAGGGACGGCGCAGGAAGGGAAAACCCTCTATGAGATGGATTGATTCAGTGACTGGGGTAATCAGGATGGGTGTATCGGAGACGGTGCGATTGGCACAGGACAGAGCAGAGTTTAGGGCTGTTGTACATAGGGTCGCTATGAGTCGCAAGTGACTCAACAGCATATAACAACAATAACAATTTTTTAAATAATTAGTTCTTAAGAGGCAGGCTTTATATTTTGTCCCACTCTTCTTTGATCCTGGATTAGTATCTGCTGTCAGGGCCTTTAAGCATTTAGTCTGAAATTTAAACTGTGAGATGAAGAAGCCATGACTGTGTCCCCCCGGGGCTCCCAGATCACAAACCTTGCTGGGGCAGGCACGGTCTATCTCCTCCTGAAGCCTCGCTTGTGTCTCAGGGTGAGTAGCCAGGTTGTAAGCCACATAGCTCAGGGCTAAGCTCGAGGTCTCATATCCAGCAAAAATGAAGGTGATGGCTTGAGCAGAAATCTCCTCGTCAGTCAAAGCTTTGAGAGGGAAAACAGCACCATAAACAGACGCAGAGACTCCAGTCAAGTGTGTGGGGAGTTCCCTGACTGTGGACTTGAAGCGATGCTTCCTTTTGGCGCGCTCCTGACTGCTTGGTCTCAAGACTTCTACCGTCCACCCCTCGTAAGTTGTGAAATGTGAACAATGAAAGAGGAAAGAGGCAGAGCCCAGAGAAGCGGCTAACAAGGGCTAGACGGCCCCCAAGTTTAGTTGGAAGTGGATGATTCTGAGACGTTTCCGATGGGAATATAGCAATAGAAAAAGAGCAAGTGTTAGAGGGATTTTATCTAAGGTAATAGAAAGTCTGCTCGTTCATTTTACAGATGAGAATGAGGAAATCAGACGCAGGTAGTGGCTTGGTCAAGGGCATGATCAAGTGGCTAGACGCTGAGCAGATCTCTCAGTATGTGGTATGTTTTTAACAGGTGACCTGGGTGGTGCACGGTCTTAATCACTCAACAAATGGCCGGAAGTTTGACATGTTGAACCCGCCCAAGGACGCCTCCAAAGACAAGCCCAGCAGCGAGCCCCTGAAAGGCCACAGCCACGAAAAACCTGCACAGCAGCTCTGCTCAGCACGGAGGCGGGTGGGGGAGCTGAGATGGGGTGAACCTACGGTTTGCACTGAATGAGGTTTGCATGACTGCATTGGGTTTACTTGCAAGTTTGGGGTTGACAATTTCCCATGGGGTTCCCCACAGCTTTGATACGATGGGGGCTGGTGAAATTGTCCACTGCAGATTGGTGGGAAGGCCCTACTGGACCCATGAGTTCAAACCAGGCTTACTGGCTACTGAGGGTCCACTGACAACTAGCGGTAACAGTGAGGTGTTCCTGGATGTTCCTGACGGTCTCTCGGAGGCAGGCTTTGAGGATGACCTCGAGCTCACGCTACGGCCCTTAAGGACCTCTAGGACATTACCTCTCAGCGACTGGCTTGCCTCACTGTGTTCTGAGCCGACCTCAGCCTGGGAATCAATCATCAGCTGTAGAAAATCCACACGGTCCTGGAACAGAGAGGCGGGGGGGAGAAGTGAGCCTTCCCCAACAGCAACTCAGTGTGATGTCACTCGTGACGCCCTCTGGACGAGACACCAAGCTTCCGCTTGTGCCACCTCAGGGTACGTGCCAACACAAAGCTGCACACCAGTCACCTCCTGCTCTGATCTGCGTCTCAGCCACTCCCGCTCCCACCGCAGTCATTGGTGGAGCTGGCCATGGGCAAAATAACAGTTTGTTGTTGTTTGTTGGTGTCTAGTGCCCGAGACTCATCGTGACCCTCTGAATGCATAAATGCATGCAAATTAGACTTTTATACTTAGGTATATTTTTGACAATTGAGAAAGGTGACACAGTAAAGAAAGAATAAGCCGTGTTCCATGGGGCTTTCAGGGCCCTGATCTTTCAGAAGCAGATTGCCAGCTGTTTCTTACAGATATGAACCACCAACCTTGGGGGGGCTGCCAGCATTTAAGTTGATAGAGAATAGGGAAATGGCAAAAGAAGTTATTTTTGCATCACGAGATAAAAATGACTGGAAATGCCTTAACTGGTGGCATCCAAGGACACGTGCATTTAAGTAAACCACCCCAGTCTAGTCTGGAGGACTCTTGTGCAGTAACGGACAGGACACAGTGGCAGGCGGCAGAGGGGTTCAGAGACGGAGTCCCCCAAGTCTGAGATGATTCTGAGAAAGCACCATTGATGTCGTGGGTCTCCACGTTAATAACAACTCAAGTCTCCCCACAGCTCAGTGTTTTCGCTCCTTCACACTTCACCTGCTCTCTCTGCTCCTAGTCAAAGTCTGAGCAGTGAGGAACCGTGGGGACCAAGAAGGCATGTCTCCTCTCTGAGGACACGGTTAGCCCAGGAACCTTGCCAGCGCCCTAGGGATCTCGACTGTCGGAGGCTTTGGGAAAGTCAGAGCTCAGCCCACCTCGATCTTCTGTCTTGTTGGTTCCAGCCCGCCTTTCTACCTGGTCCCAGGAGAGGCGCACAGGCCACCCGGCCACCATGGTGTCTTTATCTTTGGTTTTGACCAAACACTTCCTACAAAAGTGACTGGGGTTATATTCAATTGTTTCCTGCTTAATCCAGCATCACAACCACATCTCCTTCAACTCTAGACAGTCTGACTGTGTCTGCTTCTCCGGTTCTTGGCCTGCTACCCTTGGGACTGGGCTGCTTGGAACACTCAGATTCTACCTGGATCATGAGCATTTAGGTTCATTCTGTTCCAGACTCTTCGAAGGCTCTGGGAGAAGTCAAGGGCTAACCCTTAAAGCGTGTCCCCTGAGTAGAGCGGGGATGTGACCCCACCCGGGCAGAGGGGCCTCCTCTGTGACTCAGTCCGGGTCTGCATAATGCAGTCAGTGGCCTGGCAGGCAAAGAGTCGTTGACTTACCCTGCATCCACTTTCTTGCCTTTGTTCCTTAAGACGCTTGGTTACACTTGCAAAAAAATTCAACTCCTTCCGTGGAAATATGGTCACATTCATCCTTTCCATCAGTGGCTTCAGAAAAGGGAATATTGCTGGGAGGAGGCGTGGGGGGGGGGGAGGAGAACGTCAGTCCACTGCAGGCCGATCCTCACACCCCAATGGGACTCAGGGGTCCTCAGTGGGAAAGCTTTTAGGGATGTGGGATTTCGGAAACCACTCTCACCCCCCAAAACAACAGAATGTGAATAAATGCCTATAAAAAGAAGAATATCCTATCGGCCATTCCTAAAACCACTATCACCATCGCATTAATTTCTAATTTAACAATTGGATTTCCAAGGTTGTGGACATTTTGGGGAGGAAACTCCACCTTTTATCAGAAGCTGCTGGGTTCCAGCCACTGGCATTTCCACCAGCATTTCAACGTGTAACACACTATTACTTAACTAAGACTCCTCTATAATGTCTGTAAATTGGGGTTTTAGTGTATGTTATAAGCCAAGGTTTCCTATGCTCCAGTTCATTCAATACCTCCAAATCTCAGAAGGCATTTCCACTTTACCATCCATTTTACAGATGAAGAAACTGAGGTGAGAACATGGCTAAGGTTAGAGTGAGCAGGAGGTGGGGCTAGGCCTCACGGCCAGAGGTCTGAATCCAGAGTTCACCTGGAAGCTCGAGGCCTCTCGTGCCCTCTCTCCTCTCCACCGCGTCTAATCCCAGTTCCCACCTCTGTGACTGGGCAGAGTGATAGGCTGTCAGGGCTTCAGATAAGATCTTGGCAAGGGCAGAATTCAGGCTACCATGCAAATCCTCTGGAAGCGAACAGGTCTCTCAGGATCAACAAGCTACTAATTAACATGTTATTAACTAACATGCTATTAACACCTTTCCTCTGTCCTAACAGTCCTTACTCACCACGGATATCGCCTCTTGTAAATCAATCACGTACATTTCTCTGCATTAAGGGGTATTTATGACAATCTATAGTGAACTCTTCTTCTGAAGAGTCTTCAGAGCTTCTCTCTACAGCACTTTTATTTTATCTTTTGACATTATCTACTAGAGCCATGTTTTAGTATGAATATAATATACCAGCACGGTAGAAGTATGCATGTTTAATCAATGAATAGACATCTAATGGTGCTCATGTCAGCATGCAAACAAAAGGTCTTAGGGACACTGGGGCTCACTGGGCTTGCTCTCATTAAAAACAATATTTTAAATATAACCTTGAAAAATGGAAATGTGTTAAACAGAGAAAGAAATATTCCTGATGATTTAGATGCCTCCTGTGCTTGTTCGTGGCTTCTAACACAACTTAGATCGTCTGATTTTCTCAACAACCTCGTATTTGCAGGGTACTGGGGACTATCGTCTGCTCACAGATGACCAGGGGCCAACCTGATGTGGCCTTTGAGAGGAAGAGAGGTCGTTGTACCTGCAAAGAAGATCATAGGGGTGAAGACATTGATGGAGAGCAGCTTCTTAATTCGTTGGAGAAGAACGTCCTCAGGGTTGTTGATGGAGTCAGTGTCCACACCAAAGGAAGTGCTGGTGATGACATCCAGACTGTAGGCCCCAAAAATCCTGGAAAAGTGGAAAAGAGTATTAAACTGGAAAGAAAGAAAATGGAGCTAGCCAAGGACTTGTGCTCACGAATACCCTAGCCCAGCACGATGACCCTGACCTCACTGAGCAAACACTGTACCATCACTGAGCATGAGTTCCTGGGGTGGAAAGGTCTGCCGGGGATGGAGAGGGCATGGACACCGAGATCATAAACACCAGTGCATCTGCTAGAGCACAGCAAACATTTCGTCTGCAGTGTGAACGGCCAGCCTCTCAGGTAACAGCTGAGGTCACCCTCAGCCAGCGTAGGTCTCCATTGCCTCGTGTCACCCTCTGTTAACGGGGTGTAAGGGTCTACCACCTCGCGTATTCACGTCTGGGGCTCCAGCTCTGACTCGCCTTACACTCCTGTTGCTGCCGTCCGTCCGTCTGTCCCAGGGGCTTGCAGCACCACGGATGCCCTCCCCTCCCCGCCAGGGCCGGACTCACTCCTTCACGTCCACCAACTCGTCCCGAGCCACTTTCTTCTCAAGATTTTTCACCAAAATATCTCCATGATGGTTAATGAGGGAAAACATCTGGAAAACAAGGGCCGACAGCGGTACTCAGTCATGGGAGTGTCCTCATGTATCCAAACCAGAACCCAAGCCTGTTGTCCCATTGATTTAAAGAGTAGAAACTACTTCACGAATTTTGTCAGGTGGCATCGTGCTAAAGTGTTTGTTTACTGATTCAAAGGTCACTTGTTCAAACCCACCAAGCACTCCAGGGAAGAGAGCTAAGGCGGTCTGTTGCGTAAAGATTACAGCCTTGAAAACTGCACAGGGCACTTGCACTCTGTCCTGCAGAATCTCCACGAATCAAAATTGACTTGACGACACTGTTTTGGTCTGGAATCCTCACAGAAGCAAATCTCCAGGACTTTTTTCCATGAAGCCTTTGTATGGGTTTGAACTCCCACCTTTTGAATTAGCAACCAAGCACGGACCCCTTTCACCGCCCAGGGATCTATCAGGAAGTAGCCCTGACATGAACACTCGTGTGTATCTGGAAGGACTCGCCGATCAGGTGTGCAGAAACGAAGGAGGGTTCAGGCGAAGAGGAAGGAGGAGTGCTGAGTAACAGGATGGAGAGAAAAAGCCTTGCGTTACCTCAGCTCTTCACACGCTTCTGGAAGTCGCCTTTATTGTTTTTGGAAAATTGGTCTGTGAATAGCAATTGCACCTGAGTGTAGGATTTAAGAGTCATCTTACTTTTGCAATCACGATGCAGGAGGGGAATTGAGTTCTGGATGGGGCTGCAGACGGCTGGTAAATGTTTAACAGCTGACTTGGGAGGGTAAACATCCTGATTGGTAGTGTTTATCTATTTCAGTGGCTTGGACGCTCTACTGTGGTTAATATCAAGCTACCAACAGCGAAATTCCAAGGTGGAGTTGGGGAGGGAAGTGTCCACTTCAGTCTCACTAGTGGCATAGATCAATTCCGGCTCATCATGGAGCACAGTTCTCCACGATTTCTTCCTTTTTTTTAAAAAAAAGAGATGTTATATTGTTTTGTTTCCCCACTCCTTATTTTCCTTTCTCCTGAGAAGAATTGCACTGAACACCCTCTCCAGCGGGTTCTCTAAGCCCACAGCTCTTCTCAGCGTGGGCAGGACGTGGGACCCTCTTCTCCCCAACTCCAGGCTGTTCTCACTGCACACTTTCCTGTGTCCTTCATATTGTTGTTGTTTGTTGTTTATTGCTGTCGAGTCGAGCATGGCTCATAGTGACCCTATGGACTAAAGGCCTGAAGACTTTCTATTATTATCGTCGTTTCTCCAAGTTCATAGAGTTTTCAGAGGCATGTGATTTAGGAAGTGGATGCCACTCGTGCTTCCAAACCTGTCTTAAAGTGGGAGTTCCACCAAACACTGTCCACCAGGGGTAACCATTACGGCATTTGACCCCCCATGGCACAAAGTTCAGCATCACAGCGAACCCAGATTACCTCAGTGCAGCAAATTGACAGAGAAGTGCTGTACAATTTAGAAGGTTCCGGTACACGCCCACAAAAATAATAAAATAAAATTTAAAAAAAATTTTTTTTTAAAAAAAAGAAGGTTCCTCCAAAATAAAATAACACTAGACCCTTGGGCCCAACTGACTTTTTAATACAAGGGAGATTAGATAGATAGATAGATAGATAGATAGATAGATAGATAGATAGATAGATAGATTAGATTTGTTGTTATGTACCGTCAAGTTGTTTGCGACTCATAGTGACCCTATGTACAACAGCCCTAAACCCTGCTCTATCTCTTGTCAATTTTATTGTCTCCGACACACCTAATCCCATTACCCCATTGAGTCAATCCATTTCATTGAGGGTCTTCCTCTCCTGCGCTGTCCCTCCACCCTCCCAAGCATTATGTCCCTCTCCCAAGACTGGTTTCTCCTAGCAACATGTCCAAAGTATGTCAGACAGAGTTTCAGAATCCTTGCCTCCAAGGAGCAGCCTGGCTCCACCCTCTCCAGGACGAACCTGTTTGTTCTCCTAGCAGTCGATGGTATATTCAACACTCTTCTTCAGCACCACAGCTCAAAGGCATCAACTCCCCTTCTACCATCCCTAGTCACTGTCCAGCTCTCTGATGCATAGCAAGTAATGGCAAAGACCATGGCCTGACTGACATTGTTGCTCCTCAGTGCCTTGGAAAGGTCTCTGACAGGAGACTTTCCCAATGCACTTTGTCTTTAATTTCCTGGCTGCTGGTGCCAAGAGTGTTGATTGTAAAGCCAAGTAAACAGAAGCCGTCAACAATCTCTTCCTCATCCATCATGAGGCTGTCAATCAGCCCAGTGGTGAGAATCATTGTTTTTTTGATGCTGAGCTTCAATCCATATTGGAGGCTGCGGTCCTTGACCTTCTGCAGCAGGCGCTTCAGGTCCTCCTCAGTTTCAGCAAGCAGGGTTGTGTCATCTGCATAACGTCATGTGCATAGGACACATCCTTGATTGATGCACACCCTTCCCCATTTTGAACCATGCAGTGTTCCCTTGCTCTGTTCTCACGACTGCCTCCTGGTCCAAGTACAGGATTCATATACAAATAATCAAGTGTTTTGGGATCCCATTCTTCTGAGAGTCAACCACAGTTTGTTGTGATCCACTCAGTCAAATGCCTTTGCATAGTCAATGAAACACAGATAGACATTCCTCTGGTATTCCCTGCTTTCAGCCAAGATCCATCTGATATTAGCTATAATATCCCTGATGCCACGGTGTCTTCTAAATCCAGCCTGCACTTCAGGCAGTTCTCTGTTGATGTGCTGTTCCAGTTGGTTTTGGATAATCTTCAGCAGAATCTTGCTGGCATGTGATATCACCTTTCTTTGGAATGGAAACAAACATAGATCTCTTCCAGTCAGTAGGCCAAGTGGTTGTCCTCCAGATTTCTTGGCACAAGTTGGTGAGCACATACAGGGCAGCATCTGTTTGTTGAAATATGTCAGTTGGTATGCCATCAATTCCTGGGGCCTTGTTTTTTGCCAATTCTTTCCGAGCAGCTTGAACTTCTTCCTTTATTACTACAGGCTCTTGCTCATATGTTGTTTCATGAAATTCTTGTGTGTCCACCAGTTCCTTTTGGTACAATGACTCTGTATACTCTTTCTATCTTCTTTTAATGCTTCCTGGATAATTTAATATTCTGCCCAAAGCATCCTTAAGTATTGAAACTCGAGGTTTGATTTTGCTCTTCAGTTCCTTCAGCTTATGAAATGCTGAATTCAGCCCTTTTGATTTTCTGACTCCAGCTCCTTGCACATTTCATTGTAATACTTTATATTGTCTTCCCCTGCTGCCCTCTGGGATCTTCTGTTCAGCTCCTTAATATCTTGATTTGTTCTCTTTGCTTTGGCTTCTCTGCGCTCCAGTGCAATATTTAGAGTTTCTTCTGACATCCAACTTTTCTTCCTCCTCTGTCTTTGTAATGACCTTTTGCATTCTTCCTAAATAATATTCATGATATCTTCTCACAGCTCATCTGGTCTTCATTCAGTAATGTCCAAGACCTTAAACCTGTCCCTGAGATGGTTTTGAAATTCAGGTGGGATAGTAAAATTTTTGTTCCTGTGGACTTGATTTAATTTTCCTCAGCTTTAGTGTGAACTTGCATATAAGGAGTTAGTGGTCTGTTCCACAATTAGCACCTGGCCTGGTTTTCACAGCTAATATTGAGCTTCTCCAGCAGTTCTTTCCACAGATGTAATCGATCTTATTCCTATGCATACCATCAGGTGAAATCCATGTGTATAGCCTGCATTTGTGTTTCTTATAAAATGTATTTGCAATGAATAAGTCATTGTGCAAAATGCTCTATGTCCGGCTTCATTTCTGTCACCAAGTCCATGTTTTCCAACAGCTGATCCTTCTTCTCTATTCCCAACTTTTGCATTCCAGTCACCCATTATTATTATTAATCCGTCTTGATTGCATGTTCGATCAATCTCTAACTGCAAAAGTTGGTAGAAATCTTCCATTTCCTCCTCTTTGCCTCTGGTTGTTGGTGCATATATTTGAAGGATGGTGGTATTCACTGTACTTTCTTGTATGCGTTTGGATATCATCCTGTCACTCACAACACTGTATTTCAAGATGGATCTACAAATGACTCTTTTAAACTATGAAAGCAATATATATTAAATTATATATTACTATTTATTAACTATTAAATTATATATTTTTAGAAAAGATTATATGAAAAATATGTTAAAATGATATATATCATTAATTATATATCATTAGTTATATATTATTAATTAGACATTTTAAATTCTATATAATTACATATTATAAATTATATACATATTAAAATATAATTCCTCTGGCACAGTATTTAAAAAGAAGGGTCCCAGTCCTTCAATGTGCCTTCATGTTGGAGCCCATGATTCCAAGGAAGTCTACCCAGCTCTCCCGGTGTAATCGACGGTAAACACTCACAGTGAGGGCGTCTTCATTAGACTAATGGTCTGAATGTTGTCAGCATGCTTTTTGTTTTGTTTGCTTTTTTTATTCATAGTTGCACATTTGCTTCCCTTGCCCTCCCCTCCCCCAGCCCACCCTGCAGTGCACCCCCTGTTCAGATTGTTTGCGTACATGTAATGCCTAATCAGATATGCCTTCAGACAGTTCCTCCCTCCTCCGTTCTCGTGGTGCTCCTCAGCTCTCCGCTCTTTCCCCATTCCCTCCTCAGCCCCTCCATTTCTGTCCTATTTTATAACAGCTATGGTATGCGGTATTTGTCCTTTTGCGACTTCGCATAATGTCCTCAAGCTCCCCCGTGTTGTTTTGTACTGTTTTACTATTTCACTGGGTTTTCAACGCTGTGTGATTTTCCATTGTGTGAACATACCATAGTTTTTTATTTGGTTGGTTGTTGATGGGCACTTGGGTTGCATCCATCTCTTTGCTATTGTGAATAATTCAGCCATAAATGTGAGTGTGCATGCATCTGCTTGAGTCCCTTTCCTCCCACCCCCGGGACAGCCTCCTCCAAGCACCTGTCGCCTCCCACCCCCAGGACCACCTCCTCCCTCCCACTCACGGCCCGGCTTGCTCACACGTACTTCCTTGAGCTTCCCACTGGTGAAGGTCGGGGAGATCGTGGCTCTGATCCACTTCCACCTTTCATCCTCTGCAAAGATGATAGCAGATTCCAAGTCTCCATTTAAGCCGAAGTTCTAAAGAGAATGAAGTGAACAAAACCGGGCACTGCTCAGGCTGGAGAACAGGACCACGAGCTTTTCCCAACAGGCCATTAGACATATTATCCAACTAGGAAAAGAGAATGGAGTCAGAAAGGAGGCCTTGCCTCTTTCGAGAAGGTTCAGCAGTGTTGCTAACATGAGCTGTCAGAGAAGTGGGAGTGCAACAGTAGATTTCAGGGGCTGTGCATCAGAGAGCAGGATAATGACTGAGGAGGAGAGAAGAAGAATCGATGCCTTTAAGCTCTGGTGCTGGAGAAAAGGGTTGAACGTGCCATGGACTGCTAAGAGAATGAACAAGTTCATCCTGGAAATGGTGAAACTGAGCTGCTCCTTGGAGGCAAGGATTTTGAAGCTCTGTTTCACATACTATGGGCATGTTGCCTGGAGGGACTAGTCCTTGGACAAGGACGCCATGATTGGAAGAGTGGAGGGACGGTGCAGGAGAGGAAGACCCTGGATGAGATGAACAGACTCAGTGACTGGGGAAATGGAGGTAGGTGCGTCGGAGACAGTGAAATCAGCTCAGGATAGAGCAGAGTTCAGAGCTGTTGCACGTAGGCTGTCTAGGAGTCACAGACAACTTGATGGCACACAACAGCTAACAACTGAGATCTAACACACAAGAGGACATCACAGAGAACATTACAAAGTCAATGCTCCTGTCATAGGGTAGGTGGTTTTCAAGTGACTTCTTGTGCAGAACTAGCTAATCTGTCTGTTTCTTTACTGCAGTCAAGCCAAGAAAGAGAATCATGCATGGATGTTTGGGAAGGATTCTTTTTCTAAATCAAATATAATGAATGCATCGTACAGAACAATGCTAAAATCTTGCGTGAAATGTCTCTGACATTTCCTCAACTCCCACCGCCATCTTTGGAATGTGAAGAAACTCAGGTACTTAAAGGGGTCTCAGTGTAGGGGACGTGGCTGGTTTGAGTAAAAGTGGTGCCAGACATTTACTGCTTATAACAGATTGAGGAGAGTAGAGGAGAACGCTCCAGAAAATGTGTGTCCATCAAGTTTTGGTGTTATTGTGCTTTGAGTAAACAGAAAAGTGATCATGAAATTGTTTAAAACATAAACTTGACCTAAAAGTCGCTGACGGATTTGCCTCTGGTGGTAGACCGGCTGTTATTGTGACAGGTAGGAGTGGGAGAGAGGTAGAGCGATCTCCAATTGGCAAGGCTCTCCACCCGTTATAATCAGTCGGATCCTGGCTGCCGGGACATAAGGCCGCTTTCCTTTTCAAGAGGATAAATAATGTGACTTTGGATGCCACCTTTGGACGGATCTAGTAATTTCCACAGTAACAGGCCTTCATTTTCAGGAAATCAACACCAATTCCAGGCAGCTGCCATGCTACCTCCATTCTGGCAGAATGTTAAAAACTTGAGGCCCATGTATCAAAGCTAGAAGACTGGGAAACGATGTATGAATATGGAAAAGGGTTTCAAGTGTGTCAGGCATGATTCATTCGCACGGAGCATTCGGAGGGAGGACAAGGGCATGGCCAGGGCAGACCGCCCACCCGCGCCGGCTGCCTCTCCGGAGCAGGCTTGTGGAAGCAGGAGTGTTAGAACCTACTTGGCGGTTGGTGAAGAGGGTGTAGAACTCCTTCACCAGAATGGTCTTGATGATGGCAGCGTCCAAGATGGCCAAGACGGGCTGTCTGCCTTCATAGATGCTATTTCAACGTCAGCAGCAAACAAAACAAAACAAAACAAAACAAAACAAAGCAAGAGGTCAACTGACTCCCTGTCTCTTCATGAACAAGCCCAGACTGCACACTGTGTGGGAGGCTGGCAGTTTGAGCCATCAGCCCTTTACTGGAGGGAGAACGGGAACCTGGGAGGGCGGCCGGGCGGCCGTGAGTCGGAATAAACGCCATGGGAGTGGCTCATCTTGATTCATTTTTCACTTGTCCAATTCAGTAACTGCATGAATCCTGTTGGAATGACCACCGATAAGCATTGCCAAACTTCCCATCGTCACGAACAGAAACAAATCACTGTCTAAGCCACAGCTCCCCTTCTCCCATAGCCTGGTTGTTAAAGTCGGGCCTTGGGGTCAATGTCAGCTCCTGGTGAGCTTTACGGAAGTCATTGCCAAGCCTTGCCTTGTGCATACCTGCTGAGCAGGTTCAAAGCACCAACTTCTCGACCAGCAACTGGGCACAAGCTGTGGCAGCCAGGGCAACCATGACAAAATGTGGTCTCTCCACATTCACCTCTTCAAGTTATAGGGGTGAGATCATGCAGTATATGTCTTTTGATTGACCATTTCACTGTTGTTAAAAAAATGTTCCTCAGCACATCACTTCCTAGTTCGTAAGCACAGCTGTTTGGTTACTTTATTTCTAGGAAATAGAGCAAAGCTTTATTAAGAAAGCTCTTTGCCCCTCCCACCCTCGCCTCTATGGAGTAAATAAAAATCTAAGTCTCCAATTGCAAGAGCATGGCCCAATAATATTTCCCCCCCCCATCACCCTTACTTATTGCCAGATGGGTTTTTTGGTTTCTTTTTTATCAAGTCCTATCTTTTAGCCATATTGAAATCTTGAATTTGCATTTTTTCCCATGGGATACTTGAGAATCTTTTGAGAATGTGCAATCGTAACAGTTCTAATAAGATACAGGACATCCACCCACTCATCTCCCATCACAGACTGTCCTGTGTGTATTCCTTCATGTTTAGCTTCTGTCGCTCCAAGTGACACTGAGCTGTACGCACACTGGGGCAGAGTTTGTGTCTTCTCACTGCGTCCTGGGACGTATAGTCCATTATATGTGGGGTGGCGAACCAAAAGGTCGGTGGTTTCAAAGCACCAGTCACCCTGGAGGAGAAAGGTGAGGTACCCCCTCCCACAAGGCTTCACGGCGTCCGAGACACGATGGATGGTCACCAGGGCTTGGAATCGACGTGGGGTACAGGGTGTAGTTTTGGGTATCTTCAGTCCACCCTGGTACGGATGTGCCACAGTTCATTTGCAAAGTTTCTGCTGATAAGAATTGGGATTATGAATAAGGAGGTTGTTGGGAATTGAATGCTAACACCTGTACTAGTGAATCGGACCTTGTTTGGTTACAATATGTCTTCGGTATGAGCAGTTATGTTAGCAAGGTCATGTCAGAGTTGGGGTCCCTTCTGCATTACGTCTTATTAAGGGAGAAAGCCGGAGACATGATCAAATGGGGGAAAGACAGCACTTCAAGGTGCATCAACAAACAGAGAACCCCAGGGATGACCGCTAGAGGCTCGGACTAGCCGCAGGGAGCTCCTGTCTCAGGACCCGCACAAGGAACCAGTGTGACCAGAACCTTGATGCGGACTTTCGCTCACAAAGCGCATTGCTGTAGAGTTGGAACTGACTCATGGCTGACCGTCCAGTGGTTTCCAAGGCTCCGAATCACAGGAGGAGGTCCTCGACCCCAGAAAAAGAAAAGTGTGCTCTTTACAGCCGCTCAGTCTCTTGGTAATCGGTTAGGAAGCTAAAACAGGTGCTAGAACTTTCTAGAGCAAATAGCGCTGCGGACAGGTTCTTCTGCTTGGAAGTAAATGCCTAGGAGCGGAACCCCTGGGCTGCAGGCTAAGTGCGTGGCAATGTTAGAGGAACACGGGCCATTCTGCAGGGGGCGGGTTCTCCTGTGGGTTCACCAGCGACACATGAGTGCGCCAGCTGCCCCAGAGACTCACGGCCGTTTTGTCAAGAACCAGCTCTGATGTTAGCATTTCCGGGGGGCTCAGGAGGGGTGAGTCCTTGCCATGTGCACGACTCAGGACCTTGAGTGCATAATTGTGACGTGAATACTTGCTGATTAATTTTTACGTTGACCATAGAACTGTTCTCCTAACTGTGCTTTGAGGGGTCAGTACTGACGGTCAGTGGTGTTAGACAACGAAGGCAGCAGTGGGCACTGGGCCTGGCTGCCTTATTTCAGGCTGACTGGGGGGCTGGGCGTTTATACAGGAGGGCACTGCTGAAAGCCCCCCCTTCCTTATGTTACTGTACGGGCAGGAAACGGTCGAGTTGTGAGGTCCTTACCCCCATATTTTGCCATACTTGTTAAAACATTCAAGTTCAAATTGAAAAATTCCCTGTAAAAAAAAAAAAAAAAAGAAGTCTGTTAGGACCTAAGAACAGTCACATGACATGTCTGGTCGGTATTGATCAGCTGTCCGAAGGATTATACACCCACAGACCCATTTCCCCCATTTGGACACAAGATTATTAAGGAAGTCCAGGCAAAAGCTTTTGTTAGGACAATATTCACCATTTTAAGGTGAATAAGTGAAAAGCGTAACTTTATAAAGCCAATACATCAACTGTAACACATTTGAATCTAGACTTTTTAAGATATTATTTCCCAAGTCTAAGCTATATTGTCTTTCTCTGCCGTTATATGGAGCATGGTAATATTCCAAAGGCTTCCTCAGCTGTGATTTTTGTGAAAGCAGTTCTCCAAGCCTTCCTTCTGCAGGGCCATGGAATGGGTTTGAACCATCAGCCTTCAGTTTAGTTGTTGTTAAGTGCTGTCGGAGTCATAAATGACCCATAGCGACCCTATGAATGAACTTCCTGAACACAAAATTTTCATCTTTTCTCCAAGTTCATAGTTTCCAGAAGCTTTTCTTTCTTTTTCTTTTGGAAGTGGATGCCACTCCTTTCTTCCAAGCCTGTTTTATTTGCGAGATACACAAAAACCAGGCCCGAGGGCACAGGAGCCTTTTTAAATACAAGGCCAAACCCAGTAAACTCACACCCTGTGGTGAGCAAAGCCACACCCTAGTCTCAACCCCAAATCAGAAAACACACCTTTGCAGAATCTGACCATTCTATTCATCTTCCCAGCTTGGAAATAGCCCCAGGCTGGCAGCCAAATGCCTTTTAAAATTTGAGGCCAAATCTAATCAGCTCACACCCTGTTGCGAGCAAAGCCACACCCTAGTGAAGACAAGCGGAACAGCTGGAGCTGGATTCTGCAAAGGTGTGTTTTCAGTTTAGTAATCAGGTATAAATCACTGTGCTGGGGCTTAATAGGAATGAGTAAACAAGAAAGGGGAGTGTGTGTTGAAAAAAAATCATTAAGTGAGTAACAGCAGAGACGTATGTGGCTGTGAGCAAGCCTGGGTGGACAACACCGGTCTGACTCAGTGTCTTCACGCGTGTGGAGGAAACCACGCAGGAGTTCCGATCATTAGCCATGGCCTCGTGCGGTTCCCACCCAGGGTGTGGAGTGGAAGCGTGCAAAGCCTCATGTCCCACGCCGCCACACTCCAGCCTGAGCTGTCAACCTGGTGTGCATCTGCCTCTCAAACTAGCCCACCCAGTGCACTGGACCTGTCATAAACAGTGTCCAAAGTACTGGCTTCTTCCACCTGGTGCTGAGAGCTGTTGGACATGGGAATGAAACTCCTACCTCCCCAGAGTACAAGGAGAAAGGACATCTCCCAGGAAACTGGGAAAATCCATGGTGGGAAATCATCTGGGCCAGGGGCTTGGGAACAGTGGTCATGTCCACCTTCAGTCAAACCTTTTCCCGTGGAGACTAAGGAAAAGGCTTCTCCACTTTGCCACCTCCTTCCTGTGTTGTTCTAACATGACCTCTTCATTCCACGAGAGAACACAAACAAATTAGCATTTGTTGAACAGATTCAAGCTCTCAGGGGGATGGTGGTGGCGAAGGAAAATGGCTCTGATGTCCACTCACCTTTCGACATCCCAGATATGTCCCAAGGAATGGCAGGGGCCTGGGTCCAGGAATGCCCAGCTTCTTAAAAACAGTATAGGGCCATATCCCATACCTGTGACGGAAAGAGAGGCTGCGTGTGAAGACGCCCCGTCCTGGAGGCCTTTGCCGTCAGGAATCTGCCCCATGATGCACTTGTCCACCATGGTAGCCACATCCACACAAGATTACCTATCTTGAAATGTGGCCCGTGTGACCGGAGATTTGAATCCATTTAAGGGCTGGGTAGGTGGTGAAATGGGTCAACACACCCTTCTGTTCACCCATCTCGTACTTCTCTTGTGGGCACTAAGGAAGGAAGGGGAGTCTCCGAGGGTGCAGCTGATGCACTCGGCTGCTGACTGAGAGCTCAGACTTCAGTCCAGGGAGGTGTCTGAAGAAATGTCCTACTTATTACTCCCTGAAATGAACCTTTGGGGACTTCCTGGGCTCTACTTTGTCTCATGTGAGAGCCACAAGTCATAATTGCCTTGAAGGATGACTACTTTTGATTTCATCTTACTTGGATCCACAGTCAACACCCTTGGCACCAGCAGTCAGATGAGAAGGAGACATTTTGGTTTGGGCAAGTCCACTGTCAAGGATATCTTCAAAATACAGAGGAACAATGACGATGTCAGGGTGAAGAACAAGGTGTACCTCATTCATGTTGTGGTCTTTTCAACCACTTGTTATGCATCTGATAGTTGGACAATGAATAAGGATGACAGAAGAACTGATGTCTTTGAGTTGTGATGTTGGAGAAGGTACTGAACATCACGTGGACAGCCAAAACAACAAACAGGTATGTCAAAGAAGAGGTGTAGCAAGAAGGCTCCTTGCAGGCGAGGATGGAAAAGCTTCATCTCTTCTACTTTGGACATGTGGCTAGGAGACACTTTCCTGGGAAAGGACATCACGCTTGGAAAGATAGGCAGTCAGCGAAGGAGAGGAAGACCCCCAGTGAGGTGGACTGACAAGGTGACTGCAGCAATGCCGTCAAGTGCATCAGAGCTTGTGAGGACGACACAGGACAGGACAGGTCTGTTGTTCACAGGTTTGCCGTGAATCTCACTCAAGTGGCACTGAACGATAGCAACAATGGTTTTCATTAGAAATGGATTTGAGTCATGAGTAAAGTTTGCATAAGGAAAAGCAGGGCCAGTTAGGCGGTGAGGTAGGGGATGCCAGTTTCATGAAAGCAAGGCTGGTCTTTTCAGTGGTTGAAATGATTTCACCTGCTCAGGACCGTGAGGTCCCAAGCGCACTGCCGCCGAGCTGACTCTGACACAGAGAGCAGGCAGGACAGAGAACAAATGCTTCACGGCTTTCCAAAGCCAAAGCGTTAAGAACACAGACTGTTTCCTCTTTCTCTAGCTGAATGCCTGTCAACATTGAGTTCAATACCTAAGCATTTTACCCACTACACCACTCTGGAGAGAGAGAAAAACCTACATTACACAACATCACGTCTCTCAAAAGAGGTTAACATGTGGTTCCACTCATAGAACTCTCTTAAAATGACAGAGACGGAGAACACATAGATGTTCTGATCTCGGGGGTGAAGATGTTGAAGGTAGGCATGAGTGTGACGTGGAGAAGACGCAGGAGGGAGAACTCTGTGTTGAGGGAACAGCTCTGTGTTCTGAGTGATGGAGTCACAGAGATGTCGGCCTGAGATGTGCTTTTCGGGATGTTACACACCTGTCACGTGTCCATGTGAGTTTCCCGTATGTAAAATACACACATGGGGGACCTAAGGGGAGGAGAACAAGCATGTCCCAGGATAATGGAACCCTTGTAACTTTACTTGAAATAACCAGTGGTCACACTTGGCCTGCATGTCCATTTACAGGAGAACAGATAGATAAGCCGTGTTACCGGGAGCCTTGCGGCCAGCGTGCGTGCATCTTAGAAGCCTGGACGAGGAGACTTGATTTGGCCGTGTCATCAGACGGGGCTGGTCCCCGGAGAAGGACGGCACAGTTGGTAAGAGGGTCAGTTAAAAAGAGGAGGAGATGGATTGATGCCGTGGCTGTGACAATGACCCCAGCACAGCAGTGGTCCTGCAGACGCACAGGACGAGGCAGGGTTTGCCTCACTAAACGTGGGGTGTCTCTGAGTCAGAATGACGCTTCGGCGCCTGATGCCAACAGTGAGCGCCCCTGTGGTGCAAACACTGAACTACTGCACTGATTGACACAAGGTTGGATGTTCAAGGCCCGATGACCTGCGTCCAAAAGGTCACAACCTTGGAAACCCTGCAGAGCGGTCGACTCAGCACCCTGCGGGTCTCCAGGCCCAGCAGTCTTCTTTGCACCCTGCGGGTCTCCAGGAGTCAGAGCCAATTTGATGGCAACTAACAACAACACGCTGTGGAATCCGTGTGGAACCTCAAAACACAAGCAGTGCCGTGCATCCTAACATGATAACACGTCCAGATCAAACCCGCTGCCCTACCAAGCTGGTTTTGACTCCTAGAGACCGTGCAGGGCAGCATAGGACTGCCCCGTATGGTTTGGGCTGCTGCAATCCTTACAGAGACAGACGGTGGGTTTAAATAGTCAACCTGTGGTTAAGCTGCTTTACCCACTAGACACTGGGTCTGTGCCGCCCTGACGGCCCAGGAGTCGGGGCCAACTCACAGCACCCCCCCCCCCCCCCCCCCATGGGCATTTAGTCAGAAAAGCATCTTCCTTTCTGGAAGGACACTGCACGTCTTTCTAGGAGTGACTGGTGGATTTGAACCACAAACCGCTAATCTTTCAGATAGCGGCAAGATTCATTCCACCTGGGCACCGAAATTCCCGTCCGTCACGGCAAAGTCCCAGAATCATTATGTTACTTGAAAAATGAGCCACAGAAAACATCTATGTATCCACACCTATGTCGTCACATCTGCATGATTTCATACATTTTTTTTAATTGGTTCATCGTATTTTCTTAAAAATTCACCACAACAAATGAGAAGGGAATGCACCAATCAAGAAAATAATTAGAAATGTTACATATATACTGAGACACTTCTGAGGGAAAAATTAATTGTGATGGACTGAACCATGTTCCCCAATGGTATGCTGATGTCCGAACCCTCAATATCTGTGCTCGTGACCTTATCTGGGAACAGGGCCCTTAGGAGGCAGATTCTGTGCTGGGAATTCAAGTCCAGCTGCCCTGCCCTGGGCAGTGTCCACCGTGTGGGGTGGGCACTTAGGGACCACATCTACCCTCCCTGGGAGCAGTCCCCGGCTTTCTCAGAGAGGCAGGCTGAGGCCAGATGGCAAAGCCCATGACTGAGGTTGGTCCCAGGCTGGGGCCACCATAACCTCCCCCCATCAGGTCCCTCCACACCCTCCTCTTCCTCCCCTTGTCAGTTCCCTCCACACCTCTCTCCCTACCCACCTAGTCCTTCACCTTTCCCGTCCTCCACACCCCACCAGCCATCCCAGAGCCTGAGTTCTCAGGGTGTCCAGGTCTCCCCCCCACCTTGTAAGCCCCTTCTTGGGTGGGGACTCACAGCAATAGCAGGACGCTGCAGGCCACTAGGAGGGTCCAAGTCTCCGGCCCCAGGCTGGGCAAGAGCTCCATGCTGCCCGTCTGACCTCCAGCCAGTGCAGGGCTCGCCCGGGTCGTCTGGGTTTGGCAGATCAGCTGTGGTCACATGGTCCCTGACCCATCCATCCGCTCGTAGGATGCCTTTTGCACAAAGTCCCACTCTAATCAGGAAGCTACCTCCCCGAGTGACCTGTGGTTTGGTGTCCTGGTCACTAGCCAGCTCTCTGATAGACAGGACAGTCCCCAACTCCCCAAACAGCTACTCGGCCTCCTTGGGGTTCAAATGTAGCTTCCAATATGGCAGCCAGAAGGAGCCCTTTCTGTACCTGGCCCCGCTTTGCACAAGCTCACATGCTCTCGGGTCGGGGTCCTGCTTTCCTCAGGAGCTGTCCTCCCTGAAGCCCCCAGCCAACAGGGCCCCTGGCCTGGCCTGTCTGCCGTCTGTGCTGCCCCTCCAATCCTCCTCCTCCTCTCCCTCCGGGGAGGGACAGGACAACACTCCAGACCCCCTTCACTGGCCGTTTACGGGCCCTGCGACCTTAGTGATCTCCTCTGGTGAGTCTGCTCATGGCCCCCTTGTGACTCAGAACAGAACTGCACCCCACGGGCTTCCAACGCCCCAAACGGGTGCTCACTCAGCAGCACATGTCCTGAAAGGGGACCCACAGGGAATATCAGCACGGCTTCTGAGCAAGAAAGCACGCAGATCTGTGCGGCAGTCCATGGACGTCAGGAAGCTCTGATGGCCTCGTGGTAGGAGACACGCTGTCCACCTAAGAGCAGGAGAATCTACCAGCTGCTCGACGGGAGAGATGGGCAATCTCCTCCAGTGCGACTTACAGCCTCTGAAAAACCTCCCGAAGGGTCAGCTGTGAGTCAACAAAAACGGCACATAACAACAACAACAACACAACTGTCAACTACTTCATCTTACTTGGATCCACAGTCAACATCCAGGTAATAGCAGCAGTCAATCAGTAAAAACACCGTGTTGCCTTGGCCCTGTCAAGGCCTCTCCGAAGAGCTAAAGGCAAGGATGTCGGTTTAAAGGCTAGAACGTGCCTAATCCAAGCCCGACGGTCAGTTGTTTCCCTTGCAACCACGAACTGGATGATTAATAAGGACAACAGAGAACGGGGCCTTTGAATTGTGGTGTTGGATGCTCAATGACTAAGACCCGTCAAGCCGGTCCTGGGGACGTGCCAACAGGGCTCCCTGGAGGCCAGGAAGGTGAAACTCGGCTCACATACTTTGGGCGTGTTGTCAGGAGAGACCCGTGTTTGGAAAAAGACACCATGATAGAAGTGGAGGGTCAGAGAGAAAGAGTACGACCCTCACCAAGGCGGAGCGACACAGTGAAGGTATCAGTGGGCCCAGCCTATCGGGGTGAGGATGGTGCCAGACAGGGCGAGGTTCAGGTGTTGTTCATGGCGTCCTCACAAGTCATTGTTGACTCGACAGCATCTAACAACAGCAGCAACGTCATAGCAACTCTGTGGGTCAGAGCAGAACCCCGTGGGATTTCCACAGGCGGCTGTGCTCTAACCCCAGAAAGACCTCTCTCAGCTTGAATTCCCCAGTGGTTCCTCAGGAGAAGGATGGGAAATCTCCTCCCAGGCAATTCAGAGCCTCTGAAAGCCTGGAGTCGACTGTGATTCAAAGGTAAGAAGTTTGGGTTTTAGGAGGTCTCTGGAAAAGCAGACGTTGCATCCTTCTCCCACAGAGGAGCTTGGGTTTGAGCAGCCGACCTTCTGGAGTCACGGTCACGAATGCAGCCCTGCCTGGTCCTGCTCCCTTTTCACAGCCCCTGCCGTGCGGAAGCCCCATGCCGCAGCCACTGGCCCGTTCCCTCTCCCTGTGGGTCTCCCCCTCATTCTACATCCTGGCACTGCATCCAGCATGTCTTTCTCCGGACACTGTCCAGCTGACCACACCTGTCCAGGTGCCGTGAGGCCTGGCCCCACCAGCCGTCTTTCAAGGAGCACTCTGACTGCACCTGGCGAAGCACATGTTGAAGACGATGTTGTTCGTATCTTCCAAATCTCACATTAACTTTATGACAGCAACTCCAGTGTTTAAACTGACGACATCATTGCTCTTGGGTCCTCTGAAGAGGTTCCTGAGAAAGGAGTTTCCCAATGCAACTCATCGTTTGATTTTTTGACTGCTGATACCAAAGACAGTGATTGTAGACCGAAGGAAGATTAAGTCATGGACAACGTCAACGTTTTCCCACGAGAAATGGAATTTTTAATTAAAATATTGGCATTTAAATGGGATTCAACTCCATCATGTGGGAGTTTGCTTAATGACTAGGGATAATTGTCTTATCAGAAAAAGCAGAGCATTTGAAGACCATAGTGCACAAAATTAACAGCTTAGAACTTCTGCCCAAGTCACTCATTAATTGAGTTAAGCCACTAAAGAGATTGAAGGCTCAGCAAACCGTGAAGTATTTGCACAAGGAAAGCCAGGGGCACGCTCAAATCATTTCTTACATCATTCGAAGCTTCTGCTGAACCAATCATTTTAGAAAAATGGGCCGTTCGGTTGGAAGATCTGTGAAACCTGAGTTCCCCAAGTGATCTGAAAATCATTCCACTTCCAGAACACAACTGTCAAACAACCCACATGCCCATAGGAGAAACCTCTTGTCATCCATCCAGCCAATGGACTGCTCTCCACCTGGGAAGAGACATGAAATCCTGACCCACGGTACCGTGCGTCAGAGATAACCCTGGAAGACAACATGCCGATTGGAGTAAGTCAGGCACTTACGTTGTCGTTAGGGGACATGGAATCTTCACCTCTCATAGCAGCCCTGCCCGGAACAGACCAAGCCCAGGCCCCATCCTCCCCTCTCCTCCGTGCTCGAGGGTATCAGTGCAGTCATTGTCACCACTCATCTCACGCAGTATCCACCTCTTTCCTGTCCCTCTACTGCCCCAAGCATGATGTTAATTTCCAAATGTTAGCACCTCAGGACTACAGCCTTTGAAAAGGATTGTATATATTAATACCAAGAAGACAAAAATTTTCACCACAGGACCAAACGGCAACATCTTTATAGATGGAGAAAAGACTGAAACTGCCAGCGACTGAATTTTTACTTGGATTCACTTGGTACCAGCAGCCAGGAGCTCAGGAGACGCATTGCACTGGGAAGTCTGCAGTCGGGAGCCTCCCCAGATCACTGAGGAGCAATGATGTCAGTCTGGGGACTAAGGTCTTTTCAATCGCTTGCTGTGCATCTGAGGGCTGGACAATAAGTTAGGATGACAGAAGAATTTGTTGCCTTTGAACTGAGGTGTTAGAGTGTTGACTATCCCAGGGCCTGCCAAAGAATAAACCGATGCTGCTTGGAGAAGGAGCAGCCCTGTGCTCCCTGGAGGTGATGAGGGGTAAGGCTGCATCTTGTACACTTTGGGCGTGTTGCTGGGAGAGGTTATTCCTTGGAGAGGGACATCCCGCTTGGAAAGGTGAAAGGGTGAAGGAGAGGAAGACCCTCAACCGGATGGATTGACATAGCGACTTCAGCGATGGGCTCAGGTATGCTAGAGATTGTGAGGGGGCACAGACAGGACAGAGTTCAGACCTGCTGTTCACAGAGTCACTAGGAGTTGCACTCGACTCAACGGCACCTAACAACAACAATAGATGCCATGTCAAAGTATACATCACAAAGTTCCGTCACCCTTGCCCGTAACGAGTACTCTGCTTTACTACATACAGCATAGATTTGTTGGTTCTTCGGAGGCTCATGGCACAGTCAATACTCTACACCAACATTACAGCCCCAAAGAATCCGTTCTTCAGTTTCTTATTCGCTGAACTTGAAATAGGAAGGATACGAAGCAATTGAAAATGCCATGGCTTAGATCATGGGTACCTTAGTCTTTCAACTGACATCCTTTCTCTTTAACTCTTTGAAGAGGTCTCCTCTAACGCCGAACTGGCCAATGCAAACTCACTTTTTACTACTGCTATTCCAAGTCTTGACTGAAGTGAAATGAAATCCTCAGCAAATTCCGGTTCCCCCCCCCCATCTTTCATGATGTTACCTATTGACCAAGGGTGAGGGCTCTTGAATCAGTGATATTGAGGCTAATCCACGTGGACGGCTGTGGTCTGATCTAATCCACGTGGACGGCTGTGGTCTGATCTAATCCACATGGATGGCTGTGGTCTTTGGTCTTTAATAAGTATGTCGAGTCTCCTCCCCCTCTGTAATCAGGGTTGTATCACCCACATGAAGCAGACAGTTGTTGGGTCTTCCAATCTTGATGCCACATTCTTATAGTCCAGCTTCTTGAATTAGTTTCCATTTTTGTTACAAATGTTTATTTTAATCTGTTTGCTTTTTTTTTTACTTTAGATGAGGATGAGGGTTTTACATGAGAAAGAGAGGTCTCTAAGCTGGAAGAGACATCCGGCAGCCAGGGCTGGGCTAAAGTCACCCCTTGAACGACAGTGCCTGGGGTGCACTGCGATGTACCTGTACGGCCTTTCACCTGCGTGAAGTTCACCTCCACCTGCCAGCTCATGGAACAGTGCCCCATTACGCCATCTGGATCTGCCAAAGAAAGCTTCTGCCCCCCTGCTAACGGACCCCTCCCCCCAGAGCAGCCACAGAGCACTCGATAAGCAGATATTGCACTGACCACGTTGGTGATCATTAACTACGGACCATCACCAAAGATCTGGTGGACTGGTGAGTGCCTCCGAACGTGCCAAGTGCCCAGCACCAGGTAAGGAAGCCTCTCTTTCTCGCTGACATTGAGTCAGAACCGATGAACACCTGACCCTCTGGTGGGTCTGCAGAGGCTGTGAATGACACGGGAGGAGATGAACTGTCTTCCTCACAGGCAACGGTGGAGTCAGCCTTCCAGGGAAGTGGTGTCTTTGGGTTAACTGTTTCACTGCCATGGATTACTCCACCCACATGCTCTGGGTAAAGAAGAGACATACAGACAGACTCACCGACAGTGTGGTTGGGTTTTCACTCAAGGGATCTTATTTCAAAGAACCAAAAC